ATAAGACTTTTAGGTACTTTAATTAAATAAGGTTTAAAAAAATCAAGTAGCAAATTTAACAAAAGATAAAAATGGAAGGTTCTATCTACTTTACTGACTGGCATTAGAACTGACACTCGTGTGGGGAAGGAAACTACACAGAGTAGGTAATGACCTGGCCAAATTCACAGACTGTTAAAGGCTGAACTGTGTCCCTGCTAAATTAATCTGCTGTAGTCCTGACCTCAAGTACCTCAAAATGTTACTGTATTTGGAGATAAGATCTTTAAAGAGGCAAGAAGTTAAAATGAAATCAGCAAAGTGGCCCCTAATCCCATAGGACTAGTTTCCTTACAAGAGGAGGAGGCTTATCCACAGACATGCATGGAGGGAAGACACAGGGAAGAGAAAACAACCCCCAACAAGAAGAGAGACTTCAGAATAAACCAAGCCTGCTGACACCTTCATCTCAGACTTCTAGCCTCCATCACTGTGAGAACATTAATTATTGTTAATTAACAAATTAACAAATTGTCAACAAATTGTTAACAAAGTGCCAGTCTGTGGCACTTTATTATGGTAGCCTTAGCAAAATAATAATGCACAGATTCACAGTGAAATAGCTCTACTGGAAAGCATTGATAATTACTATTGAAGGATTCTATCTATGACATACTGATCATACTGTCAGTAGTTACGGTTGCAATAACTTTTTTTTTTTTTTTTTTTTAGACAGAGTTTCACTCCTGTTGCCCAGAGGCTGGAGTGCAATGGCACAATCTTGGCTCACTGCAACCTCCGCCTCCCAGGTTCAAAGAATTCTGCTGCCTCAGCCTCCCAAGTAGCTGGGATTACAGGTGCCCACCACCACGCCCGGCTAATTTTTTTGTATTTTTAGTAGAGACAGGGCTTTACCATGTTGGCCAGGCTGGTCTCAAACTCCTGACCTCAGGTGACCCACCCACCTCAGCCTCCCAAAGTGTCAAAGTGTTGGGATTACAGGTGTGAGCCATCACCCCTGGCCAGGTGCAATAATTTTATTTTATTTTATTTTATTTTTTTTTGAGTCAGAGTCTCACTGTCACAGAGGCTGGAATGCAGTGGTGTGATCTCAGCTCACTGCAACCTCCACCTCCCAGTTTCAAGTGATTCTCATGCCTCAGCCTCCCAAGTAGCTGGGATTACAGGTGCCCATGACCACACCCAGCTAATTTTTTATATTTTTAGTAGAGATGGGGTTTCACCATGTTGGTCAGGCTGTTCTTGAACTCCTGATCTTGTGATCCACCCATCTCAGACTTCCGAAGTGCTGGGATTACAGGCATGAGCCACCGCGCCCAGTCAGGTGGAATAATTTTTATGTGAGGCTTCTATGAAACCTAAAAAAAAAAATCCTCTAGGTAAAAGGACTGAGAAAGGCTCTTCTAGTGCTTTCCCTCTCCCTTGGATTGGCATCCACTGGAAGTTACCTTCTCTTCCTAGATCCAGCTTTGCTGGCCGTTTTACTTACTAATCTGTGTTTCCTAAGTGCCTGCTATGAGCACTAGAGGCTGGGCATTGGGGATATAATGGTGAACAGACAGACAAGTTCCCGCCTTCAGGAATTTTAGCCCAACAGGACAGAGATAAAAACCACTACTATATTATGTTTTTTGGGTTTTTTTTGAGACAGTCTTCCTTTGTTGCCCAGACTGGAATACAGTAGTGCAATCTCAGCTCACTGCAGCCTCTGTCTCCCGAGTTCAAGCGATTCTCCTGCCTCCCACGTAGGTGGGACTACAGGTGTGTGCCACCATGCCTGGCTAATTTGTGTATTTTTAGTAGAAACAGGGTTTTGCCATGCTGGCCACACTGGTCTCGAACTCCTGGCCTCAAGTGATCTACCCACCTTGGCCTTCCAAAGTGCTGGGATTATAGGCATGAGCCACCATTCCCAGCCTATATCAGGTTTTGATAAATACTACAACAGTATTAGCACACAGGGAGGGAGGGACACTTAACACCCTTTGAGATTCATGGAAGGGGTGAGAGGCAAAGACTAGGTGTTAGCCAAGCTCCTAGGGATTGTTCTAGACAATGAAAGAACATATACAAAAGCCATGATAAATGTATTGTGCTGTGATTCTGTGCTCCAGGGGTGGTAGTCCCCATCCTTGAGGAGGTAAAACTGAGAGTTATGATTTGGGATGCATTTGGAGACAAGGACGGCACCAACTGAATGCCTCATATGGGAGATTAGCATTCTCAAGTGGCCACAGACCATTCGGGGCTATAATACTTATGTAAAAATGTTATTCCCTTACAATGGGAAGGCAGATGAGGAATTAGAAGTGGTAACAAGTAACAGAACAAAAGTGCTAAGAGGCTAAAGAAAAAAACAATGGAATGAATGATCAGGTTCTAACATTGTCCCCCTTAAAAACGTTAATTACAAGGCTGGGCACAGTGGCTCATGACTGTAATCCCAGCACTTTGGGAGGCAAAGGAGGGCAGATCACCAGAGGTCAGGAGTTCGAGACAAGCCTGACCAACATGGAGAAACCCTGTATCTACTAAAAATACAAAAATTAGCCGGGCATGGTGGTGCATGCCTGTAATCCCAGCTACTCGGGAGGATGGGAAAACTGCTTGAACCTAGAAGGCGGAGATTGCAGTGAATCCAGATCACTCCATTGGACTCCAGCCTGGGCAACAAGAGGGAAACTGTCTCAAGAAAAAAAAAAAATTAATTACAATTACTTAACTACCTACCTGTTTCCTGCAGCTGTCATCAGGCTAACAATTGAGGGCCTGTCCTTTTACTTCTAATTTAGTAATAATCCAACGTTTATCAAAGTCAAGTTTCTCTCCATGTATCCTTAAAATTCTTTACTCTGAATTCTAAAGATAACTAAAAAGCACAAAACCTTGCAAAAAAATTTATAATTTATATACCTAATAAGGGGACTTGTATCTAGAATACATAAACAACTTTTACAATTCAGTGACAAAAAGACAACCCATTTTTTAAATGGGCAATGGGATGGGGCACAGTGGTTCACACCTGTAATCCCAGCACTTTGGGAAGCTGAGGCAGGTGGATCACTTGAGCCCAGGAGTTCCAGACCAGCCTGGGCAACATGGCAAAAGCCTGTTTCCACAAAAATTAGCCGGGCCTGGTGGTGCAGGCTTTAGTCCCAGCTACTTAGGAGGCTGAGGTGGGAGCATTGCTTAAGCCCAGAAAATGGAGGATGCAATGAGCCAGGATTGTGCCACTGTATTCCAGCCTGGGCAACAGAGCAAGACCTGGTCTCAAAAAAAAAAACCAAAAAACAAAAAAAAAAAGGGCAAAATAACTGAATAGACATTTCTCCAAAGAAGATAGGCAAATGGCCAATATATGCACTTGAAAAGATGTTCGCCATCATTAGTCATTAGGGAAGTGCAAATCAAAACCACAGTAAGACATAACTTCACAACAACTAGGATGGCTAAAATCAAGCAGACAGTATCAAGTGTTGATGAGAATGTGGAGAAATTCTCCACATCATATACTACTGCAAGAAATTTAAAATGAAGCAACTGCATCAGGAATAGTCTGGTGGTTCTTGAAAAGGTTAAACACAGAATTACCATATAACCCAGAAATTCCTGGGTTTATACCTAAGAGATATGAAAACATATGTCCATATAAAAACTTGTACAGGGCCAGCCATGGTAGCTCATACCTGTAATCCCAGCACTTTGGAGGCCAAGGTGGGTGGACTGCCTGAGCTCAGGAGTTTAAGACCAGCTGGGGCAACATGGCAAAACCTACTAAAAATACAAAAAATTAGCCGGGTGTGGTGGTGTGTGCCTGTAGCCCAAGCTACCTGGGAGGTTGAGGCACAGGAATCTTTTGAACCCAGGAGGTGGAGGTTGCAGTGAGCCAATATCATGCCATTACACTCCACTCCGGGGGACTCCGTTGAGGAAAACAAAAAACAAGACCCAAACAACTTGTAGGGGCCAGGCACAATGGCGCACATGTATAATCCCAGCACTTTCAGAGGCCAAGGCAGGTGGATCACGAGGTCAGGAAATCGAGACCATCCTGGCCAACGTGGTAAAACTCCATCTCTACTAAAATACAAAAAATTAGTTGTCATGGTGTTGCACGCCTGTAGTCCCAGCTACTTGGGAGGCTAAGGCAGGGGAATCACTTGAACCCGGAAGGCGGAGGCTGCAGTGAGCCGAGATTTCGTCACTGCACTCCACCCTGGCGACAGAGTGGAACTCCATCTCAAACAACAACAACAACAACAACAAAAAAAAGCTTTGTACATAAAAAGTCATAGGAGCATTATTCATAACAGCCAAAAAAAAAAAAGACAATCCAAACATCTATCACTCTGGCCTGGGAAGGTGAGATCCTGTCTCCCAAAAAAAAAAAAAAAAAAAAGGCAGGGTGAAGTACCTCACCTCACCTGTAATCCCAGTACTTTGGGAGGCTGAGAAGGGTGGATCACGAGGTCAGGAGATCGAGACCACCCTGGCCAACATGGTGAAACCCACCTCTACTAAAAATGCAAAAATTGGCTGGGTGTGGTCGCATGTGCCTATAGTCCCGGCTACTCAGGAGACTGAGGCAAGAGAATCACTTGAACCCAGGAGGCAAAGGCTGCAGCGAGCCGAAGATCACGCCACTGCACTCTAGTCTGGTGACAGAGTGAGACGCTACCGCAAAAAAAACAAAAACAAAAACAAAAAAAACACAAAAAAAAGGTATACAAAAAAGCATTTTGTAAAACCCAGCCCTGTGCAATATAATTACATTTATTTCAATTACTCAATTATTACCACAGATAACTAAGAACTAGAAGCAGTATTTCCCATTTAATAAATACTAAATTATATGTACTTAGTTGTCTTTTTTCCCTCAGCTTTATCAGAAAAAAAGCAAATCCATCACAAGCTTAGCTAAAAGATGGTTATTTGAATACATGTAACATGTAATGGAGATTTGAATACATGTAATAACCTTTACAGAACCTAATACATACCATTTCCCCTCCACACTTCAGCTAAATGGCAGCTGCCTTCTCCAGGTTCCTTGCAAAATTCTACAACATCTCGACAGGTTGTTTCCGGTGTTATAGGAACTTCTGTTAAAATCTGTTCATTGTTGCTCAAGAAAACGGTTAATATCATCTGTAAGAGAAAAGATTAAAGCTATAATTTAGATTCCTTATCACAAAGAGATTAATCTGTAAATTTAAAGTGATCCCTCCACCCCCGCAAAAAAAATGCCTACAGGATTATTTTCTGGAAATATAATAGATAAGCTGATTCTAAAGTTCATGTAGAAAGATGAAAAAGACAAGTCAAGAAAATTCCAAATGAGGAGAGTCCTAGAAAAGAAACAGCGCTACCAGATCATTATAAAGCCTCAAAATAACATGGCACCAGTATAGGTCAATGGGGCAAAGTCATGTCCCAGGAACAGACCCAATTATCTATGAAAACATGGCAAATGATGAGGGAGGTATCTCAAAAATCAAGGAGGGAAAAAGACCATACAGTGAGTGATGTTTGAGCAAAATGTATCCAACTGGAAAAGAAAATTATTTCATACCATACATTGTACACTAGCACAAGTTCCTAATAGATCAAATATTTAGATACAAATCCTAAAGCCACAAAAAGTCCAGAATAAATTCCTTTTCACAACCATGGAGTATAAAAGTTGTTTCTAACTAGGACTCAAAAACCAGACACTATTTTTAAAGACTGATATTCAAGTACTCATAAAAGAATCTCATAAAGCAAAAGGACAAAGTAGGGAAAAATATTTGCAACTTGTATTACAAATAAATAGCTAATCTCCTCAATACACAAAGCACTCCTTTCTTTTTTTTTTTTTTAAAGATGGAGTTTCACCATGATGGTCAGGCTGGTTTTGAACTCCTGACCTCAGATGATCCACCCACCTCGGCCTCCCAAAGTGCTAGGATTACAGGCATGAGCCACCATGCCCGGCTACATAAAGCACTCCTAAAAAATGATAACAAAAAGACCAAAAATCCAATTCCTTAAAAGAAATTGGCCAGGGAAGCATACTAATATGTCACAGTAAAAGAAAAATAAATGATCCTTAAACAGAAAAATACCTTATAGTGTAATTGAAAAAATAAAAATTGCCTGGCCTTATTTTATTTTACTTTTTTGAGACAGAGTTTCACTTCATCATCCAGGCTGGAATGCAGGGGCAAGATCTTGGCTCACTGAAACTTCTGCCTCCTGGGCTCAAGCGATCCTCCTGCCTCAGCCTCCCAAGTAGCTGGGACTACAGGCATATGCCACCATATCCAGCTAATTTTTGTATTTTTTGTGGAGACAGGGTATCGTCATGCTGCCCAGGCTGGTCTCAAACTCCTGAGTTCAAGCAATCCTCCCCCCTCGAACTCCCAAAGTACTGGGATTATAGGCATGAGCCACTGTGCCCAGGCTTTCTTTTTTTTTAATTTCAAAAAAATACTAACACTTTGATCTAGCATCTTAAGACATCATATTGGAAGGAAAATTTTATTCTTGTTTCCCTTGCCTAGGTGGAAAAATGAAAGAGATACCTTTAAAAACAATACACCTGGCCAGGCGAGGTGGCTCACGCCTGTAATCCCAGCACTTTAGGAGGCCGAGGTGGGTAGATCACCTGAGCTCATGAGTTCGAGACCAGCCTGACCAAAATGGAGAAACCCCATCTCTACTAAAAATACAAAATTAGCCAGGCATGGTGGCACGCACCTGTAATCCCAGCTACTTGGGAGGTTGAGGCAGGAGAATCACTTCAACCTGGGAGGTGGAGGTTGCCATGAGCCAAGATCGCACCATTACACTCCAGCCTGCGTGACAGAGGGAAACTCCATCTCAAAAAAAAAAAGAAAAAGAAACACACCTAAAGTAAAATTTAGGCCGGGCGTGGTGGCTGCCATCTATAATCCCAGCACTTTGGGAGGCCAAGGTGTGGATCACCTGAGGTCAGGAATTCAAGACCAGCCTGGCCAGCCTGGTGAAACCCCGACTCTGCTAAAACAAAACAAAACAAACAAAACAAAACAAAACTTAGCCAGGTGTGGTGGCATGTGACTTTAGTCCCAGCTACACGGGAGGCTGAGGCAGGAGGATCACCTGAACCTGGGAGGCGTGAGGTTGCAGTGAGCCAAGATTGCGCCACTGCACTCCAGTGACAGAATGAGATTTGTCTAAAAAAAAATGAAGTAAAATTTAAAACAAAGATTTTCCTTAATCAGAAAGAATCATAAAATATTTCTGTCTAATCTTTGCTAAAAGGTCGAGAAACAGGCCAGGAATGGTGGCTCATGACCGTGGTCTCAGCTGGAGGCTGAGGTGGGAGGATCACTTGATCCCCCAAGTTTGAAGCTGCAGTGAGCTACAATCATACCACTGCACTCTAGCCTGGGCAACAGAGTGAGCCTTAAAATCTCTGCATTCCAGTAAGCATATAATTTTAGTTCGTTAAGATATCTTTTCTTTCAGCCAGGCGCAGTGGCTTACACCTGTAATCTTAGCACTCTGAGAGGCCGAGGTGGGTGGACCACTTGAGATCAGGAGTTTGAGACCAGCCTGGCCAACATGACGAAACCCTGTCTCTACTAAATATACAAAAAAATTAGCCAGGTGTGGTGGCCCGCGCCTGTAGTCCCAGCTACTCAGGAGGCTGAGGCATGAGAATCACCTGAACCCTGCAGGGGCAAATGTTGCAATGAGCCGAGATTGTACCACTGCACTCCAGCATGGGCAACACAGCAAGACTCCGTCTCAGAAAAGATTTTTCTTAAAAGTATCCTAAATTCCTACATTCTGAAATTAAGCATCTTTACATCTATGATCAGATTTTATGTAACCAAAATTGATAATAAACTGGTTTCCTTGCCACCAATCTCCCCCAACTATAACTCCTCACTGTTACTATTTGATTTTCTAAATGTAGGTCAAGTAAAGTTATTCCTTTGCTTAAAATATTTAAGAGCTCCCCACTGCGCAACAGCAGCTCTTCCTAAAACACCTTCTCTGGCAGATAAGCAGGAGATAGGTTTCTTATCTGAGCACTTTTTAAGAGTCTAATGTTTTAATGATCATGCATATTCCTTTTTGCCCCCCAGAGAATCTCAAGAGGCTTGGATTTCTATAAAATATACTCTGAGAAAACAAGATAAACTACACACCCCTAGCCTTCCAGGTTCTAAGTCTCTGCAAGCACTAAGCCTCCCTCCACCAGCTCCAATGGAGTTCTCCCTGGCAGATGTCCCTCTGCCCAAGTACCTTCCCTGTTTGCCTGTACATTCCTATTCACCCTTCAAAACTCAGCTCCTAACCACCATCACTGCAAAACATTCCTTTACTGCTTCTTCTCGCCAGGGAGGCCACATGCTCCTTCCTTTGCAATCTGGTCTTCACAAAGGTCTCTACTGCATTATCTCAATGACTCCCTCCCCTCATAGACTCTGCACTCTTCCCACTACTTCACTGTTGAGTCTTTAATTTCCTATTGCTGAGTCAGGACCTGACGTGTGGGAGGCAAACTAAAACCTGGTCGACTCCATGAATGACACACAAAACACAGAACCCCCACCATGCCCTAAATTGAGAAAATATATATATACACACATACTCGAAGTAAGATATATCCAGTCTGTTCAATAAACAAGCATCATCCCTCTTCCATTAATGCCTTTCTATTTTACAGTAAATTTTTAAAAAATTAAGTAACAGTTACCTCTGCTTACTAACCCATAAGAATTTATAAAAATTGGGGGCTTTTGTATACTGAAGTAAGTAGCCTGGAAGTTACAGAATTTGGAATAAAATAGGTAATTACTAGATACAGCACAAACAAGGCCAAGGATAATGCTTTAACAGTTTCATCAGAAACAACTAGAATAAATTTTTATTCTTATTATACATATTCATTCTACAGTTGTAACGGTATTTTCCAATATGACTTCATAAGCTATGCTCTCAAAGATTTAATAATAATTTTTCCCAAATCATGCTTTATAAAGTTTCAAATGAATAAAAACAAAATTTTTTTTACCACCTTCCTTTAAATGCTGTTCCAACAGTTCACCAGTAACTAGCAGAATGCCCGTTTCACTCAGTTCTTCAGAATCTGTTTTTGTTCCTGTCCCTTACCCTTCTACCTACTAAAGCATCCCAGGGTTTGCTCTCAACACTCTATGAGCTAGCAAAACATTTGCACAGGCCAGGCGTGGTGGCTCACGCCTGTAATCCAAGCACTTTGGAGGCCAAGGTGGGTGGATCACCTGAGGTCGGGAGTTCAAGACCAGCCTGACTAACATGGTGAAACCCCGTCTTTAAAAAAAAAAAAAAGAAAGAAAAGAAAAAAAGAAATGGATACAAAACAAAACAAAACAAAAAACATTTGCACAATCATTGCCTCTAGAAGGCGGAAGCACACAAATACAGCACATGCAAAGTAGTACCCTTTGGTACTCACAGAGGCACAGCTTATGCTTACTTGCTCTGAAAAGCAGAATTCTTTATGAATGCATTGTCAGAATGAAGGATAGTACGGCACTATTTTGCGGTACTTTCTCAATTACCAAGACTCTTCAGCTGATGAGTAAATTCAACATGATGAGGGAGGGGGAGAGGCATAATGGCACACTGTAAATCTGAACATTTATTGTTAAAAGAGAAGAACACCCAAATAACTTATCCATAAGTCACTAAACATTATTTCAATTTCTTACAATGTTTTATCGCCCTTAATAACTCTGTGTTTCCTAATTTTAGCAAAATTCATTTTCCCTAATCTTTATTATTCAAAGGTAATTTCATTATGATCATAGCAGATTTTAAAGCTTTCTAGAGAAATTAAGCTGGTGTTGACCTGGATGGTACACATTTCCCTAAAATTGAAGCTGAAAAGCCATGTGACTGCTGCTATTCTAGTAAGATTTCTTTAGCTTAAAAATAACTAAAGTAGCTCCAACACAAATGTATTGATTCTCAATGCATTTTTTGTTCATATTTTAATAACATTCAGAACACTGGATGAAAAACAAGCAAAAATAACATCTTTGAAATCACAGTATATCTCACAATTGATGGCACAACACAATTTAATGAGTAGCATTGCTTTTGTTTCTTTAATACTATGTACAAAA